GGGCCCAGGCTGGATTTGAACCCGCCAGCTCAGGTGTACGTGGCTGGCACCTTAGCCACTTGAGCCACAGGTGCCAAGCCATAACATTTCTTCAATTTCTTCTAATTTGTCTGCTCTGAGGATATTAATCATAATTCTTTTGGAAACTCCTTTCATGTGTTCTACTTAATGATATATCCTTGGGTCTTGGGTGGTATTAGTGACTAATGTTTGTTGAATTTAATAATGAAGATGGTTTTCTTTAAATAGTCTGTGCTGCTTATACATGCGTGCTTACATTTGCATTTGAGATTCCTTGCTTGCTTTCCTATGGGTAGAGTTTCTGTTTTCTGTAGTCTGCTGCCTACAGAAGATTGTGGAGGAGGGAAAGATGTACAGACAGTGAAGTCTGTCAATAATTCATTTTCTGTTGTGTGTGAAAATCCTGCCTTTCTAGCCAAAACATCTATACTCCTTATCTCACTGCAGTGGTAAATGCCTCTGGGGCCTGATGATTAGCACAAAATAGGGATGAAGATACACAAATGGTCAGTCTTTCTCCTGCTACCCATGTTTACATCCTCTAAATTTGGGATGCCTCAAAGCTGCTCTCAAAAGTCACAGTGGTTTCCTCCTGCGTCTTTTTAGCACCATAGTTTCTTCACTCAGTTGACTCCCACTTGCTTTATCTAACTACTGAAGGCCTCCTTCGTGATTGCAGCATTCTTATGCTATATTTTATTTTTATTTATTTATTTATTTTGAGACAGAGTCTCACTATGTTGCCCTCCGTAGAGTGCCATGGGAGGATAGCTTACAGCAACCTCAAACTCTTGGGCTTAAGCAATTCTCTTGCTTCAGCCTCCCGGGTAGCTGGGACTACAGGCACCCACCACAACACCAGCTATTTTTTGGTTGTAGTTGTCATTGTTGTTTAGCAGCCTGGGTTGGGCTCGAACCTGCCAGCCTCAGTGTATGTGGCCTGTGCCCTACTCACTGAGCTATGGGTGCCAAGCCCTTATGCTATATTTTTAAAACACACACAGAACCTTTTCTGTCATTTATAGAGATTTTGGTAGGTAGGGGATTGTAGGTCCCTGTTCTCAGGCCACCATCCTGGTCCAGTATCTCTGTCCTGCATTTGTAAAATGAAAATATGAAAGAGACTGGAAATATAAGAATGGGAAAGAATGTATTTAAATATATATGTATGCTGGACAGCTCACATTTTCCCACTGCTTTGCCTGCCAACTGAACCTCAATTTTGTAATGACAAAAATCATTTGATATCAGAGAAACTTGTTTTAAATCCTGACATCAAGAAAAAAGTATAGATGAGCAGACTGTCTTACACTTGTCATCTCAGCTACTTGGGAGGTTGAGGTGGGAGAATCCTTTTTTTAATTATTTTTTTAAATAAATCATAGCTGTTTACATTAATGCAATCATGGGGTACAATATGCTGGTTTTATATACAATTTGAAATATTTTCATCAAACTGGTTAACATAGCCTTCACAGCATTTTCTTAGTTATTGTGTTAAGACATTTATATTCTACACCTAGTAAATTTCACATGTACTCTTTTAAGATGCACGGTAGATGTGGTCCCACC